GAAACAGTGCTAGGAAATCAGGGAAAGATATTTTCCTTGAATTTACTTATTAAAATTGCTTTTCTTTCTTTATAATAAGCTCAGAATATCCAGCTCTCATTTAGACAATCCTGTCTCACACATATTTTCACTAAAAATGAAAAAGTAGTAAGTACGCTAATGGTGAAAACAAAATTCTTTTAAACAAATACAAATAATGAATTCATAATCTCATTTTAAAAATATGTTCATAATTACCTGCAATGTATTTATGGAGTGAAACAATGACTACAGAAATTTTGCATATTAAGTTTTTTTAAAGCCACAGATCTCTCATTGTTTGAGATAATTCTGTATTGTCTTAAGATTAAGGAACAGACTTAGACTTTATAGCAATGTATTAGTTAAAAAGTTTATTAGGAAATAAGCACTATTATTTCAAAGAATTAAAAAGGAGTAAGAAATTTCACTGCACTAGATTTAATAATTCACAACTTTTAAATTTTGCTCACTTTACTTTTATCATTCCTAATTCTCGTATTCAAAACATTTAAAAGATGTGCCATTCAGTTAATTTGAGGGTGTATTCTTTATGTCTTCAAGTATATTTTTGGCAAGCCATTTTCCTATTCCATAATACCTAGTTCTCTGGCAATGATGCATATTTAACTTTTTTACTCTAATTGAAATTTCTTGTGCATGTAGAGGGAAAGGCCAGAGGGAATGTTTTAGCAGTCCAACTGTCAGCTTTAATTGGAGATAATACACTGGAGATCTGGAATTTTAAAATAAGTACCATGTGCCTGTCTTGAACATCACCCAGGTGGGAGAACTCTGGCCAAAAACTCTAGATAAAGAAACACCCACAGGGCTTGCTCCAAGAGATCCTGCCTTTTGAAATAGAATGTAAAAAATAAGGTGGAAAGACTGTGTCTGAAAGAAGCAAATTAAAGGAAAGAGTTCATGAAAAGTAAACTGGTGCTAAGGGAGTCTTGGGTAGTCAGGAAAACAGCATGGCATCTAGGATGAGTGGAGGGAGGAAGTGGCTGCACAGTCTTTAGAAAAAAAACTTATAAGAAAGCAACATGAAGCTGCTATACTATAAATTATTATTGGAAGGAACAAAATCTTAGTGAAAAGTGGAGCTGGCATATTTATTGCTGTCTACTTGAAATTCAGCATGGATCTAAGAATTTTTAGTAGTACTACATACCATATTATGCCAACACACATGCTATAAAATATGTTTTCATCATAAGACTATAGTGAAAATTTAGGGTATAAGAGTGTGTATACAATTATACAATTCATTACATAACAAAAATATTTTAGAAATGTTCCTTTGGATTTTAAAATAATTAGTAAACTAAAGGCTGGAAAAGAAAATGTGTGTTTTTATTTTTAAATTTTGCTTGCCAATGCTATGATTTAGTAATCAATAAACTACCCTGTGGTATCAGCTAGATCATATTAATCACCAAGGAATCCCCACAATGTTTCTCAAGTTGCAAAGATAGTTTTAAGTTAAAAGTTTCAATCACTGATGACAATTTAATAAAATTTCCTGATTGGTCAAAGTGTTTTAGTATTTTTGCTTTCAGTTTAGATTTTAAAAAGTCAGGTGAAGAGAGAGGAATAAGATTGACTATGATGGTAAAGAATTATCACATAATTTTTTTAGCCTCAGAGTAATTCAATTTACTATCAATATTAAAGAATTAATAATTTTAAAGTATTTTAATAATTTTAAATGAAAGTCAAGAGAACCTATGATTTTCTTAAGTCTGCAAAATTTTTGAAGTAGTCAAGGCATCAACTAACACATACTAAACATTGATATGACTGCCGATAAATGCTGGAATTATTTCAAGATGCTAAATTGTTGGCCTATTTCTTCTCCCAATAATAAAAATAACCCTGTCCTTGTGTCCTATTGTCATGGTTTGGTGAAGTTAGTTCGATCACCTGATTTCTCTACTGTTGGTAGGAAGTCCTACACATAAAATAATAATTCCTTCTAAAGATAAATGAAACAATTCTACTCAAAATGAACAAAGCATATTAGTTCATTGTTTAATAGGGATTTCCATTTTTTAAATGCTATCATGACTTAAAACATTAAATTATAATTTTAATTATAGGAAAAAATGATCTAAGAGCTTAAATCCAAAGGGAAACATTTCAAACTGACAGTATTTCTTCTAAATCATTTTATTAAAAATAAGTTATCCATATTGAAGTAAAATTTAAATTAAAAGGAGCGTTTTCCACTGTCAATGTCTTCCTGATAATTTCCATCTTTAAATTAGGTCTGCTTGAAGGTTCATTATCACATATGGCATGAGGCAATCAAAGACCAATATGCCAGGTAATCATGACTTGACATGAAGGAATATGGAATGCAAACTCTTCTCACAATCTATATTTTTTGGATTAGAGATTAAATTCAAGGATCATGCCTATCCAGGATATAAATTTTATATATTGTTTTTTGCACAGCGTCATTTCAGTTCCAAATATTTTTCGTAAACAAACTAGAATAAAAGGAAAGAAGGGAAGCTCTGAAAGAATGGAGGCTCTAAAAGAAGAAAAATTGATAGAATAAAGTATTTTGAATTGTGCCATTATCTTTGTTGGTTTTTCAGAAGGGTTATTTTGTGTTAAAAACTCTTTTTTTTTTCTAATTTTATTGTTTTCTGAATTTAAACTGTGGAAATAAGAGCAAAGCAACCTTGATAAATGCCTAGGGAACTAAACTAACTCCCAGAGAACAACCTGGCTGTGTGAAAATCCAGTGATCTATGACAGCAATGTCACATGAAATCCTGAGGCTTTTGTCTCCCACTCACAAGCGCACTATAGAGAGGTGGCTGTGTGACTTCACTAAGTGTTGATGGAAAGTTTTTTGTCTATTTGGTGTTTTGAAATGTATTACACTCCAAAGGCAAAAGCACAAAAAAAAGATTTCTAATTTTGAATAAGATTGGTTCATATAAATGTGACTGTAAATTGTAATATTGTTCAAATCAACTCTATATAATTGATCTCCAAACTATAAATAAATAAATAAAGTAAAATGAATTTTCAAACTAGTCATGTGAAATTTGATGTGTGTGAAATGATACTTTACACTATAAAGAAACATGAAGCAAATGATGATTTAAGAGTAAGATTGATTATAAATAAAAAGCTGCCAGGTGGTTATCCTGTGTTCTAGACCAATTTTATATGAGAGGAAAAACCAAAAACAAAAAAAAGTCACAAATTTAAGCACATAGCTACTTTTAAATTTATTAATATTCACATTTAAAAGATCAGACAGAAACAAATGAAGTTAATTTATTATTTATTTATTTATTTATTTTTGTGTTGGGGATTGAACCCAAGGGCACTTAAACACTGGACCACATCCCCAGCTTTCCTTTGCATTTTATTTAGAGACAGAGTCTTGCTGAATTACTAAGTGCCTCACTAAATCTCTGAGGCTGGCTTTGAATTTACAATCCTCCTAACTCTGACTCCCAAGTCACTGGGATTACAGGTGTGCACCACTGTGCCTGGCTAAATGAAGGTAATTTTAACAATGTATGTTATTTAGCCTAATATGGTCAAAATATTGTCATTTTAAGCCAATCAGTATAAAATTATTAATGAGATGTTTTATTTGTTTTTATATCTTAAAAGTGGTGTACTTTTTATACATATAACATATGTCAATTCAGACTACAATTTCAAGTGTTGTATCAGCAATCTGTAGCTAGTGGCCCTCTATTGGACAGTAAAGGGCTAGAAGATCATTATATTATACCAATGTTTAGCAGAATCAATAAATGCATTGATGTATATTCATGCATCCTGATTGTAATGACAACTTCCCATTGAGTTAGGTTGTGTTTTTTTTTTGTATTATTGCTCTTTTTTTCTACTGAAATAATGATAATATTTTTCTTATATAAAAATATTCCTTTATAGAACTTTCTTAATCAAATTGAATGATTGCCAGAGTTATATGTCCCACTTTTCTTATCATTAATTTCCACAAAAATACATATGTAGTAAATATAAGGAATTTGCCCTGCATTATGATTGTTAAAATTTGTCCATTATTACTGTCTTAGTTTTACACTAGTGTTCTTTAGCAAGGTATTTTTGCATTTATAAAAGTATATTCTCCTGCTAGTATGTAAATTTTATCATTCATATATTATATACACAATGTGTAACATTTTTAGAGTGAACTTTTGGTAGTTTAAGATACATGCCTGCTGATTTAGTAATTTCAGCTCACAGAAATCTCTCTAAGAAATTTCTGGTGGAAAGTACTGCAAGACCCAGTGATAGAATTCAAATTCCCACTTCTTTGTAAAATTCCAAATTTGGTGGGTAAAGCAATTATCCGTTTTTATGTCACATCATCAAGTTAAGTGAGAGGAGCCTATTTTACACACACCTGACCTCTGATTATCTGAATAATAATTGTGATTTTTTTAAATATAGAAGCTCGTGTTTTGAGGCGGATATGCTATATTGACCTATTTTAAGACTGGATACAGTGTCAAGAGTAATTCAAATCAATAAAGCCAAAGACAGAAGCTCAGGATGTCAGCAAGCAGATAAATCATTATGCCTAAGTATAGAACATAAAATAATTTTAGAAGGGAGATAAAAAATTACTTGCAAATAGTGAGGTTTTTTTGCTAATTATAAGTAGCTGTATTTTAATCATTTGGATCTGGTGGCATCTCTTATTTATAAAAAAAAATAGCATTGCTGTATTGAGTTGCAGGCAAGGAAGTAATTTAAGAAGAAAAAAGCTTATTGAAAATTTAATTAAAAGAAATCATTGTGGTAGATAGTTCACAGGACTGGTCAGATTATAGAAATTATCACTTTTTTAAAATTACGATTACACCACTTACCCAACTTTTTGCTTCTATCTTTACTTGCCTGGTAAAATCATTACGTGTTTAAAGGGAGAGAAAACAAAACAGGTAAAGCTGCAGCAAAAGGTACAAGGATACAATCCCTTCCTGGAAAGAGGATTTTGTGGCGAACCATTTCTCCCATAATGCATCCCACAGACCATATATCCACTAGAACAGGAGAGAGAGTGAAATGAAGAAAAGGGAGGAAAGTAAAGTTAACTAAGATAATTGACCTCTGAAGGAAGAGGAAAAAGAACAGTTTGATTAGAAGGTACAAATTTCACCTCCTGCCCAAAGCTGGCCAAAGGGTGAATTAAAAACAGCAGTACATGATTATATAAAGCGTCTAGTACAAGAACTCAAATTAGTTTTAAAAATTACTTTATGAATGCCCAGGAATGCCTCTTATGCCACAAAGCTAAACCAAAAATTCTCCATGGCAGATGACAGCTCACAGTCAGCAAGAGGATTTTGATATTATTTGTTGGATGGAAAAAAAAAAATCAACCTATAAAGATGGCTGTTTCCCTTTTCTATTCTACCCAGTTTGGTTTGGGTTCAAAATAATAATTCAGTGAAATTCAAGAAACTAGGAAATGGTTGGAACCATACTTTACAGATAGTAGAATTGGAATTTCTTGGTAGTTGAGACAGTTTTTTTTCCTCTGGAAATTATCATTCAAAATAAATATCAGTTTTAATTTCTACTTGAAATATTTTAAGAAAAATAATATCTGATGAATACATGTGTATGAAGAGTCATCTAGAAGTAAAGTGAAATTAAAGGTATTAATGGTGTTAAAATTTGCTAAGACCATAAATTTCCCAATCGTCCTACTTGTTAGCTGAACATACTTCACAGTTAGCCTTCTCTTACCAACCTTAACACTCTTCCAACTCGCCTTTTATTAAGGACAAAGGGAATTTGGGGGGCAAAAACATTATGCTGAATTGCTCGGTGGGGAAGGAAGGCAGGGTAAGGTGCACAGGACAGCTGGGCATGCCTGATGCGGGAGCAAGCAGGTTTTTCTGCATGATAACCTTCCTCTGCTCAGAGGGAGGACAGCCCAAAGGTACAAGGAACACCTTCTCCATGCTCCTAAGGAAGCCAAAAAACAAAGGCAGTAATTTTCAGCCCTTTCTAGTGAGCAAAGGAAAAGGGGTTGAATACCAATTGTCTACACGGCAAAGATCTGAAAAGCCAGAACAGGCAAATTTGAGACCCCAACCCCCCTATACATTCTTAATTTTTTTTATGACATATATTATTTACTCATATTTATGAGTCAGGGTATGATATGATGTAATATTTGATACATGTCTATAATGTGTAATGATAAAATCAGGGTAATTAGCATATCCATCACCTCAAACACTTATCAATTCTTTGTGTTAGGAATACTCAAAATCCTCTTTTAGCTATTTTGAAATATATGAATTATTGTTAACAATAGCCCTTGGTTCTTAAGTTTCCTTTAATTGGTTCCCCCTTCGAGTTTTAAAAAATAAATTGTGACAATCGTATGGGATAGTGTTCCTTGGGAGGAGGCTCCATTCACCTCTTCTGAGTCAAAAGGTGCCAGAACCCTGACACTGGCCACCACGGTGAGCCTGACTTTCTTAAGAGCTGACTTTTCACCTTCTGTAAAATGTATAACAGCATTGAATTTCTTGTAATCTGAAGGTACACAAATATTTTTTTTTTAAACTTCCGTGTCCGTGGAATTTCCTAAAAGTGCCCTGTAGCACCTGTACATAAAAATACAATAATTATTCATATAATATTCATAAAAATAGATTTCTGGGAAGAAAATAGAGTAGAATATAAAAACAGATATCAAAGGTACATTGAGTACATATATATACAAACCTAAATTTAAGCTATTTTAATTTTTAGTAAATATATTTTAATAAGCTATTCCTTGTAACAGATATTCTCATCAGAATATATCACAAGGCCTTATAACAGGTATTTTATATGTCCTTAATTTTAGTCAATGAAATCCAATTTGAATATACTTTAGTCTTTATATAAACTTAAAGTGTTCATGTATACTAGATGTTTTTCATGAAAACGGTAAAGTACTTTGTGTGTGTGTGTGTGTGTGTGTGTGTGTGTGTGTGTGTGTGTGTGTGTGAGATACTGAGGACTGAGCCCAGGGCTTTGTGCATGCAGAGGAAGCACTCTACCAGCTGAGCTACATCCCCAGCCCAATGGTAATGTATTTTGTGTATGTGTTTGTGGTACTAGAGATTAAATCCAGGAGCACTCTACCACTGAGCTGCGCCCCAGCCCTTTATATATTTTACTGTGAGACAAGGTCTCACTGAATTGCTGATGTTGGCCTCAAATTTGCAATCCTTCTTCCTCAGCCTCCAGGGGAGCTGTGCTGCTCCACCTGGTTAGTACTGTAAAATTTAATGTTTTCCTTTCTATGATATCTGGGATTTATAAAAAATTTACTAGGCAACTGCTATCATAAAATTAATTACAGAACATTTTAAAGTGTTTAAGAAACTGTTATCCAATTTGAATAATGTGTGTGGATTATTCCAACTTGACTTTTTAGTGCTTATGAAGAATTTCACTGCAAGGATCTTTTTGTTGATCTTTGCCTAGGACTGGAATCATGAATCTAAGATATGACACAAAAACCAAATAGTAAAATGAAATAGCATTCTTCCTGTTTTCACATTCAGTCTGAACCTAACATCAACACAAATAGCGATTTTTCTCAATATCTATAGCATGCATGCTAATCAGTATTCATTTGATTGTTTAATCAGACTCCATTTATAATTCTTTTTAGCTCTAACACTTCAGTGATCTTCTATCAAAGCATCCTTCACATTTGTAATGAATGATTCTTGCTAGTAGTAATTTTATAAAAAGTAAGCTCTGAATATGAAAGCTGGCAGTTCTATTTTTGAGAAATTCATATTCCTGGCTATCCAAAGCATGCACCCATTTTCTTCACAGTTGAAAAGCATCCCTACCGTTCTCCTTGTAGCCCATTCCCAGGATGACCTCAGGGGCTCTGTAATAACGTGTCACCACATAAGGGGTCATCATGAAGCTTGTGCCTGCTGTCCTGGCCAGTCCAAAGTCAAGGATTTTCAATGTGCAATCAGACTTGACTACAATGTTACTTGGTTTTAAATCCTGACAATAGGAACAAGGGAAGAAATTAAAAGCCAGCATCCAATGGAACTTGCAATTTTCACCTACTCCATCAACATGGCAGTGTTACAACTGCACTGAGAGGGTCCTTCTTGACTGCACAGCCCTCTAAAAGGCATATGTTACGGTTACACAGAAGTTCACAATTAGTTTTGGATTTTAAAAACTGTCCTCAGATATTCTTTAAAATCGTTTAAATCCCAAAGAGAACTGTATTATCATTTTTACAATTTAAACTTATCCTGGGAAGAAGTTTTAGGGGAATAAAGCATATCATTTATTGTCATCTCTTAGGTTTTTCCTCCAAGCAATCTAAAATTTTTGGTATATATTTCATTTCTAGGCCCAACAGGAACAAATCAGGATAACTGATTTTATGCTTCCAGAAATGAACTATGGAAATGAACTGTCTTATTTCAGCTACACATATGACCTCTGTCAATCAAAGAGCTAGAAGGCATAAGGCCTATTAGGAGCTGAATATCAATGAGCTGACAAAATAAAATTTGACCTCAGTAGAAGTGTCTTCTACACATTAGTGAACTATGTGTTAATTCTACTAATAAAGGAGTGTACAAATGCACTATATTTGACCAAATACAACATAAAGAAAATAATCTCCAAGTTTCTTTTCTTTTCAAATGTCTCTTAATTATGACTTTAGAGAAGGTATTCTTACCCTGTGAATAATCCCAGCAGAGTGGAGATGCTTGATGCCACACAACATTTGGTATAGCAGGTAAGACATTCGCTCATGGTCTAATTCCATCTGAATCACCTGACACAAGTTGGCATCCATCAGTTCCATTACTAAGTAACTAGAAGGTAAATCCACAACATTGGTTCCAATCATAAGATCTATAAAGTCCTTTAATCACATTAGAATCCTGTACTAAATCTGTAAGTTTTCTGAACGTCCTAATTCTTCCTTTGACTAAATCAAGAATATGAAAAAGTTTCCAGTATTGCATGAGTCTTAGCTGTAGTAACTCTAATAGAAGGTTACTAATAGAAACATCATCTATTAGTGTGTAGTTAATGCCCAAATATTTTCTACTTTTATCTTGCTCTCCCTTTTCTCTGTATTTCTTTAACTCTTTCCTGAATATTAATGTTACAAATAAGAAAAAAATTTTCAGGACAAGTACTTCCAGTAAATCCATGTAGGTGTGTTAAAGTAGACAATGCGTAGGGAACGACTTCCTTTCCTCATTATTGCTATAGTTCTAAATAGGTTAATTTTTGATTAAAATCAAAGGCACCACAAAAGTAGAAATAAAGAATAAGGATATTTTATTAAAAGAGAAATATTAATAATATAAATTGAATCATCCTACGAAGCTCACAGAATCAATTAATAGTAAATAAATAAGCCTTTCCTCATTGAACCAAGAACATAGAACAATGAAGCATAAAGCACACAGAGCCATAGACTAGAAAGATCTTTCAGGAAGTAACAGCACAGACAGAATCTGATTTTATATTTTCACTTGGACATTTCATTTGAACCCAACTCTCAACTCCCTTTGATCTCTACAACAGATTTTATCTCTCTCTCTCTCTCTCATTTTTCCTAATTATTGGAATGGTTTTTTTGCCCTTCTTTAATAAGTTTTGTTACTTACACATCTTGGAACTCCTCCAGCGTTTTCTGGGGTGTGAAGACATTTAATAAACTAATAATCTGGAAAAGAAAGCATGGAAGGGACAGAGGAAAGAGAGAAAGAAGAGTGGATTACTTATTTATATAGTGAATTATATATTTATTCAACTGAAAGGTACTTACTGGACCTTTGGTAGAAATAGAAAAGTGTGGAAAATTTCTAGACTTTCTCATATAATACAGAATATATATTTAGAAAAGACACATGATCTTCTCCTTTAGGTTAATGATGCAGTTAAAAAGCTCGGGTTATGAGGCAGCAGGAAAAGTCAGAAAAGACATATAACTGTTATACTGCTTTAGTGTGATTCTCCATGGAAGGACACAGAGCTATCAGATTATTTTTTAAAAAGGAGATAAAATCATATGAGAGGAGAAAGACAATAGTGAAACACTCAACAAGATATATCAAGGTGATATTTTTCCTCCACATGTACAAAGTGGTGCCCTAATTCAAGATATTTTTTTATCACTACCATAGTGTCTTTTACTTCTTTCTCACACTCAAATATAACTTAGACTAATGCTTTTAATATATGTGGGGAGAGATACATCTTAGATACTATCAGCTATGACTTTAGTGGAAAAATATATTTTAAAGTTCCCTAAGTTGGTTCTAAACTTTTTGTTTCTTGCTTTAATTACTTTGCTAATTAATTAAAATTTTACCTTTTAGAATAAGTAAATTTTAAAAACCTTTATCATGGTTCCATACAATTATGTGCATAAATATCTCAAAATATTCTCCCATCTAAATATTCTATATTAATGTGCCAGAGGAAAGTGAAAACAAAATATGTAAATAAGAATCTTCTACTTACAAGGTAGTTACAGTTTATAAAACTAGAGAAGTACAAGTTCATGATTAAAACAGCTTGAAACCATGAATCAATGACTTAGTAAACTTCATAAATGGTACAGAAATATATGAAACACACCAAGTAATTAAAAACAAAAACAAATGGTTTTAAACACCAGAGAAATGCAGACACTTTTGTGGAATTCTTTAATTTGTTTGGAAATTAATGAGAAGAAAATCATAATACCATTCAATATTTTCTAGTATACATACATATGACAATGGTATAGCATACCAAAAAAGAAAACTGAGAATATTCTTCCTAAAGCAACTTTACAATATTAAAAACACACTTAGATCAAAAATTATTTCAAAATATCTTCAACACTTAAAATTAAATTGTCCACTAATTTTGCATACTTAGTTGTAGTAAGTGTTGAAAAAATGTTTATATAATAGATATTTCATTTGAAAATCTATAATGGGCCTCTTTCTCTAGTACTTCACCAATCTCATAAAGTAACTTATTTCATTTTGATATTTGTTTAAACAAAAATGTTGGAGACTGTACATAGGGCACACATTCACACAAAATCCATTAAGTATGGAAACATACTAACCCCCATTATCTGGTGAACAATAAAATATAGTTAATTTAAATTAGTCAAAGAAATAACATTGTGATTTTAAATAAATAAAGATTTATTGTTTACAAAAGTTAATTTTCAAAATCTATTCCTTATTGTCTAGTCTTACTTTCCCATTTCATATACCCTTGTTTTATAACCTTTGCCTACTCTGACTTCCCTGTTAGATATTCTTGCCTGTTATTTCTATAGATGATCACTTCTTTATAAATTTTAATACCCCTAATAACCAATTTAAAAATTTGTTCTTATAAAGTGATCATCACAGGTATTCTGTTTTAGTTCAACAATTTCCAACAGGTTTCTTACTCAGTTCTTTCACTTCAGCATCTTGGGAAGCTCAGATACGAATCAAAGTTTCCATGGTCCCACAATCACAAGAATTCACTTCCTAAAATTGAATATTCGTTTTCTAAATGAATTTTATTCACTATTATTAGAGACTGAATAGGGTTTCTTCATTGCTTTTCCTTTACTTTCAACAGCATTAACAAAAGCTTTATATTCGAATTGCCTTTTCCTTAGTATTACAAGTGCTAATTGAGAATTTACCATTGGATATAAATGAATTTCCTATTAATGAAATTTGATATACATGCATACATATATACTTACACACATAAAGAGCAGATATTTACAAATTATCATTGTGCAGTAGTCTGTTTTTTGTTACTATAAAAATATCTGAGGCAGAGTAACTTTATAAGGAGAAGAGTTCTTTTAGCTCATAATTCTGCAGCATCAAGAGCCTGAGGCCAGCATCTGTTTACCTCTAGAGAGGACCTCATGGCAGATGGTATGTGTGGGAGGAAGATATCACATCTTGAAACAGGAAGTCTGAGAGTGATTTGGGGGTTGGATTCACTCGTACAACTTGGTCTTGTGAAAGGCAAGGGGTCCCATGAGAACTACCTTAATTCATTCTGAAGGTAGATCCACCAAGGACCTACAGACATCCCTTTGGATCCCACTTGTTGAAATTCCCATCTCCTTTCACATCCCTACACTGGAAACTAAGCTTCTACCATGTAACCTTTGAGGGACACATTCAGGGTATAATTTCCTCAAATTGGCCAAGTAATTGTGCACTTCTCCACAATGTATTGCATTATAGGATCTGGATGGAAAACTAGGGAAAAAGAAATACATATATGCAAGACTTTTTGTATAGTTTCTTCATTGCTTGTATGCCTCCATCTTCCATTTCATACTCTTTAGTACCATAAAATACATTGCCCTGGTCTTGTGGTGAATCTTGTCTCTACCTTTACTTAACATATTGAGAGGAAAAAAATCACTTTACTATAGTGTTTTTTCTTAGGAATCCTTTTTTTCTTTCATTTATATATTCCTTCTAGAAGTCTCATATTCCTTGAATGGCCATATCAATGATAAGCACATATTTCAAAAAATTTTTCTTTCTTAGAGAGGACTACCCTGTTCAACCTACTGAAAAAAATAACCCTCACCCTGCACTAACTAACATTTTAATCTTTCTTCTTTGTATTATTTTACTTAAATAATGTCACCCTCTGACATTCACAGGTTTACTTATCTATTTTGTGGACTGCCTTTCTCTCATTAGTAGAATCTAAGCCCACATGGGAAGGATTTATCTCCATTTGCTTCCTGACATATTCTTAACATCTAGATTTGTGTCTGGCACATTCTTTTCATTCAACAAATACATGGCAAAGACTGAATTAAAATGTCATTGGTCTCAAACAACTCAACAGCATGAAAACAAACAACCTGACTTAAAAGTCACTGCAGTGGAGTAATAGAGGAAAAAATAAACACTGTCATTGAGCCTGAGTCTACACTAATTGTATTTTAAACATCTTCTAGCCAAACATTTGCTTATTCTTAGGACCACTAGTGGTAGATGGTTAGCCACATAACAAGAACCCTTCTTTATAAACTACACTAATAATTTTATATTCTGTATGATTTTTATATTTAAAAACTTTGTAGGGAGTTGTGATAGCTATCATCATTTTATCTATAAAAATTCATTTAATTATATACTTATAATTAATATAATAAGATTAATAAATTTATTATATTACATTATTAAGAATATTCTATAAAAATAATAAATTATCTTCTATTTCTCTTTGAAAAGAAGAAAATGGAACAGGAAAAGTTCCATAGGCCTTATTCTGGAATTGAAGAAGCTTAGACACTGAGGAAAACAATCTTACTTTGGTCTACCCTGCTGAATTCCAATGAGAACGTGTTTTTTGTTTTTTGTTAAAGAGAGAGAGAGAGAGAGAAAGAATTAATCTTTTTTGTGGATGGACACAACACAACGCCTTTATTTTTATGTGGAGCTGAGAATTGAACCCGGGTCCCTCCCATACTAGGCAAGCGCTGTAATGCTGAGCCACAATCTCAGCCCCAAGAGAACATGTTCTTGATAATCCCATTCCAAATTGCTTTGGAAATATGTTCAAGCCTGTTTGCCCAACCCTAAGAAAACAAGATGCCAACATACAGTGTGTACACTAAAGGCCACTAGAGGCCTTTAGTGCTAGAGGCCACTGCGAGACTATAGCTAAAACACAAAGGAGAAAACACAACTAGTAAAACTTCAACAGTTAATAATTAAATTTATTATTAAGAAATGTAGTTTATCCTTCTATAGGCTTTGGGGTTTGTTTTTGTTTGTTTTGGCATTTTGTTTTACTTTTTGGAAAATACAAAGCTTTCTGGTTAATTAGAAGCAAGATAACCAAATAAGGTTAATTTTATAACAGGGACATATCTATCAAGTTCATCTCCTCCTTGCCATATGGCGTTTAGGTGATGTTTTAAGCAGGAAGCTACCATGAGGATAACAAAATCAAATGTAGCATATGGTCAAGATAAACAATCCTAAGAGGCAAAAACTGTAAAGTAAAGAAGGCCTTTCCTACTCAAGTTGGTTCTTATTTTCTTCCCCAATATCACAATTTCCCATCACTGATAGTTTGAAAATAATTAGGAAACTCACATTTTTATGGTTCACACACTTCATGAGGACCAGCTCCCGGTAAGCTCTCTTGGCATGTGTTTGGTTCTGAAATGGCCGGCTGAGCTTCTTAATGGCCACATTTCTGTCAAGGACAGCATCATATGCAGCACTGCAGAGATTCAAGAGCAATCCAAAATTAGGAACAAAAGAGCCTTAGAATTTCTACCTATCTAAGGGTATGGGTAAAAAAAAAAATAACACTGTGGAATTCTACTCAGATATCATCTTCTCAGATCACATGCTAATCAGACTCATAAAGATAAGAGTGACTATTAGAAGAATAAGGAGGAGGAGGAAAAATAGAAAACAAAGAGGAGGAGGAGGAAGAAAAAGTAGATGAAGATGATAAGGAGAGAGGGAAACATAGTATCTTGGAAAATTACAGTATAAATTGCATCAGTGAGTTAGGGATGAGAGGAAAAGTAGTAAAATTGTTTACATTTCCCATCTGCCATGTGACCATGACAAGTTATTTAATCTTTCTGAGCTTGAATGTCTCATTAACATGTTATATTTAGGTATATTCTTGCTATAAAGTCCCATAGGTTCTTTGGTTATTATTTAAAATAATCAAACATTCATTCTTTTCCCAGTCATAGGAATGAGTTTTTAAGGTATAATACTAGTTGTCATGAAAGCACGGGTTGGTTAATGATCAAAGTGCACTTGTTAAAAATAACAGAGCTCAAAATGAGGTATGCAATCAGAAGAGGTTTCAGAACCACAAATAAAACACTCAATGAAATAAATCACCTCTTAGTGATCTAAACAAATGGTACAGTTTCTCTCATACTAAGAATACATAAGTCTGAAGATCAAATGAGAAAGAAAAAGAGGCTCTTTCTGCAACTATTCCTAATAACGCATTCACAAAAATGTTTGTTTTCCATTCCTGCAACTTTAAATTTTGCTGGGGTTTGTCTTTGTTGCAGAAATCGGGATCCCCTACAACTGACCTGTTGAATTAGAAATAACATTACCATTTAGAGCTTATGCTACTGAACTAAAAGACAAAAGTGGAGGTACTACTGTACTATGAGATAATGACAGACCCACAGGATAATATTGGACAAAATCTTAGAGTTCATCTGGTCCAGGCATCCATTTAATATTCATTTCTCTAAAAAATATATCTACAACAAAAGTTGGATCTATCTCTGCTTGCAAACCTTCAAAACAAAATTCATTAGTACCAAGTCAGCTCACTTAGTTGTTGGACAACTTTGAGAATAGAAATGCCATCATTCTAATAAGCAGAGATGAATCTCTCTGGTTTCCTTTGCATTCTAGTGCAACTCAAAATGAGCATTCCCTTTTTAATGTGATAGACCTTAATGTTTGAAATCTATTAAAGGGCTGAGCACTATGTTTATCATGAAGTAAGCAGTTCATAAGTCTTAGCTTTATTATTTTCCCAAGTCTTTTTCTTATTAATCTAAACATGGTGATTTCCTTCCGATCACCACTTGTTAGAATGTGGTTTCCAGTTCTATCACGATCTGGTCAGTTTCCTTTGAATATATTCCAGTCTGTCAATATTATCTGAAAACGTGGACTATGAACTAAATAAAGCATGGTTGCTGTAGGCATGCAGTATTATCGAAGATTAGGGTAGGATTATCAAATCCTCCATACTTTCATATCCTCATTCATTCATCAGTTTCATTCTGACATAGTTAATGTACCGGTCTGTTGTGGCTTCCTTGAGAATAACATCACAAATTGTTGACTCACAGTGATTCTACATTCACTAAAAAATCATCTTTTTAAAAACTTGTGCTGTTACTGCATATTGTCACCCCTAGTCCTTCAGTTTTAACACTGGTGTTTTTTATTAATTTTTTATTCATATATGACAACAGAAGGCATTACAATTCTTATTACACATATAGAGCACAATTTTTCATATCTCTGATTGTATACAAAGTTTATTCATACCAATTTGTGTCTTCATACCTGTATTTTGGATAATAATGTCCATCACATTCCACTATCATTTGTAACCCCATGCCCCCTCTTTCCCTTCCCACCCCTGTGCCCTATCTAGAGTTCCTCTATTCCTCCGGTGCTCTGGCTCCATATGCCACTATGAATCAGCCTCCTTATATCAGAGAAAACATTTGGCATTGGTTTTGGGGGATTGGCTAACTTCACTTAGCATTATCTTCTCTAACTCTATCCATTTACCTGCCAATGCCATGATTTTATTCTCTTTTATTGCTGAGTAATATTCCATTGTGTAAATATGCCACATTTTAAGGGCCTCAAGGTTGGTTCCAAAATTTAGCTACTATGAATTGTGCTACTATAAACATTGGTGTGGCTACATTACTGTAGTATGCTGTTTTTAAGTCCTTTGGATATAGACCGAGGAGAGGGATAGATGGGTCAAATGGTTGTCACATTCCCAATTTTCCAAGAAATCTCCCTATTGTTTTCCATATTGGCTGCACCAATTTGCAGTTCTCTTTAATCTACCAATGGCAGCACAGGCAAAGGAAAGAATCATGTGGATATGCATCATATACAGAATGCACAACAACAGTGGATTTACTACTTCCCAAAGTTAGTTAAACAATTGCTATCAGAAGAAAATTGATCAGTCATATTAAAGAGAAAGACAGAATCTTATGCCAAAAACAACAAAGTTAAAATCATTATTATATCTTAGTTAAAAATAAAAAAGAATGACAGCTATGAAGGCATATAAAGGAGTCGGCCTCCCAGTCGATCTAGAGATCCAAGAAGATGGATGCATTCTTATTGCAATTGTCAGAGACAACAGTCAATTAGCATTCTGATCAGAGTCTCCTTGGGTTGATTTTACCCCCCATCATTCAACATTCTACTCAACAGACTCTCCTTGAGAGGGCTGCATGCACAAATATTACCCATATTTGGTCAGCTTGGCTATCATATTTATTTTAATTTAATAAATCAATATCTGGTTTTATAATGTGAGGCTTATCAATGTGGATTCAAGTCCCTGAGATACTGACCTGGTCCTGCAAGACAGTGGAACAACCAACCCTTGCCTCATGGAGAATAACTAAGGAATAGCTACACTGTGAGATTTCCTGGCTGGCAGGTTCCTAATTCCTCTGAGAAATGTTCTGGCATCCTCCCTTCCTCTGCTACCTCTACTTTGCAGCAATTTTAGGTATGAATCTCACTTCTGCTTCTATCTAGATATAGTTATGTTTTTGACATCAGTTTCCTCACATTTAAAATGGAGATAAGAGTAGCCTGACAAGATTGTTGTCAAGAGTAAATGAGTTACATATTTATAATGCTCACTCAGTAAATGACTAATGCTGTTTTAAAAATCATTGTCCTTATTGTATTTATTACATAATACAGAGCAGAATAAAGTACAAATTCCTGCAGCGTATGTGACAATTAGACATACATTACTCATTAGCAATTTCTAGTCTTTCTACTAATTGCAAATCCATTCAACTGCTCCACCATCTTGATCACATTTGTCAAGTTTGCCCTATAATATCATAAAAGATTGGGTAGAAATCCTTGTTAAAATATAGACTCATGAGGACCACACAATTCTTTGACTTCCCACTTTAATAAGCAATCAGGTATGATTTTTTCTATATAATTTGTTGGAATCTTTATTCCCACTGATTACTGTATTTTTTTCTTAAAGGGTAAGAAGGTATCATTTCTAATCCATGTCATGCTCAGCAGACTTCTTTTACAACCTCTTTCTTCCCTCTGAAGTAGTAAAGAGACTTCAGAGTTAAATGTAAAAATCTCCAGATTATATAATCCAGTTAACACTGTGGATTCCAACAAGTTCCTGAAGATGCTCCATGAGAGGTTTATAAAGCAGAGGTGAGGGTGGTAGTCATCTTCTGTCATTCCTGGCTGGCAGGGTGATTCTGGAGGAGATGTGAGGTTTTCTTCCAAAGAAGTAATTTGTGTCATTCTCCAGATTTCAGGCTGAGAAGTTAAGGCAGAGGCAGCAGTGGAGAAACAAAGTTGCAGTTCCTGGACCCCAGCAATATGCATTAGTGACAGAAGCAATGATAGATGAATAGTTCCAGCTTAAGTATTCTCTAAAGTCAGTTACGATCATGTGTTCTGGAAACTCAGTGGTTCTAGGATATTCAGAGGTGGGGTCTTTCCCGATGACTTAGCCATCCAGTGCCTGGGAGTCCTTTGGGGAAGACAGACTAAAGCCCACTTCTCCAGGACTTGCAATGATTTTACAGGCACTAATTTACTGTATCAAAGCTCTGCTTGCTGAAAATGTTTCTGTCTCCCACTGCGAGCCCTGGATGACACTACCATCTCCCATTTTCTGTAATTCCTCAGTGATTACTGGCAGCAGTTTGGCAAATATATCTACAAATTGGCATCACTGATACTGAACAGTCACATATTGATGTCTGAAAGTTTTCCGCCAGTCTTAAATCATTTTAAGTCTTGTTCCATAGAACCATGGTTTTTTTCCTTTAAGCAGTTTCTCTCTCTCTCTCTCTCTCTCTCTCTCTCTCTCTCTCTCTCTCTCT